TCTTCATGGATTCCAGTTCCTTTTATCATCTTTCTACCTTCTCAAGGACTCTCTCCAGGATGTCAATTTTTTTTTCTTACTGAAGAGCAAAAAAACAAACACAGATGCTCCAGGTGTGGCCTCCCAAGCAGCACAATAGAGAGGAATAACCACTTTTCTTCATGGTCTGTCTGCCCTCTTGTTAATAGAGCCCCATCCTCCTATGCCATGAGGTTGCAATGCTAACTTGAAATCTCTTGAAAGTAAGCACTGCATTCCAATAGTAACTGGGAATAGGTCAGAGTCCTGGTTTCTTAAGTGACTTATGCTGTCCAAGCAAGTGAGAGGTACTTTAGACATCTCGGGATCTTTATATATCAAAATGCATAGCCCTACTATGTTCCTTGGTGCTGAATGTGATCATGAGAGAGGAGGAAGATGAATAATACAGAGTCACCAATCTAGGGTAAGTCAGTCTCAGCTTCTGAATAATTGTTTTAAAAAGTTACATAACTCTTCCTTTTTCACTTCTTCAAATATGAAGAAATCCTGTAACATTATTTGTCTTGTTTCAGATCTCACTATAGACACATTTTTGTGGCAATGATGAGGCTGTGACCTAAACATTTACATGGGGTCCCTTGGCAACATGCAGACAAAGCTTGTTGCATTTTGATTGAAGGAGAATGACAATTGTGCTGCATTCCTAATTATGCAGTATCTCACTTGCCACCCTGACAAAAATTGTAGTTGTAGTACATAATGTTACAATTTCTAGCTCACAGATGGCTTATCTAATTGGGGTAGCTTGCTGATAGTTCCATGAAGAAAAAAGCCCAACAACCACCAACTCAAATATTTTAATCCCTGCTGTGTCATTGCTTAATTAGGTCAATATAATTATATTAGAGAGAAAGCATGGTCTTTGGTTCCTCCACTAAAATAGTGAGCCTAACTGTGAAAGGAAGATTTAGATGAACAGAATTTTAGATAATTTTTAATGATTTTCTTTCCAAGTCATTTGAAACACTTTTTTCTTGAAATTTCTTCATAAAAACTTTATTTTCTTTCAATGCCATATGAACAAATTACATAAAATATCTTTACTCTTCCCCTTGTACTTGGTGCTCTTAACAAAACCAAACATAAAATCTCAGATAAACATTGAGGAGAAAGGAGAAACTTCTTCCTCATCAGGATCATGGAATGGCCTGGGTCAGAATGGACGTTATAGATTGTCTACTTCCAACACCCCTGCCATGGTCAGGGACACCTTGCACTAGAGCAGGTTGCTCAAAGCCACATCCAACCTGGCCTTGAACACTTCCAGTGGTGGGGCTGTTGGACAGGCTGCCCAGAGAGGTCGTGCAGTCTCCATCCTTGGAGGTTTTCAAGAGTGGCTGCTCAATGACCTGAGCAACCTGATATGATCCTCTTTTGAGCCTAAGGTTTGACTGGATGACTTTCTGAGGTATCTTCCAGTCTGCATTCCCTATGAGACTACAAACAATCTTAGAGTGGTCAAACATAAAATGAAATAAAGATGGGGATTAATCAGGTATGTTCCTTGACTCCTGAATTCATTTGAACCATATATCAAGCCATTCAATTTTATACTCCAAATAAAAGTACATTGGAAAATTTTCAAGTAATCTAAGTTTGGGGATATTTTGTTTGGAGATTTTGGTTCAGTTTAAAGCAGTGTATCTATGGACTTTTTTGGAATTATTTTCTATTATTCTTTCAGCCCACCAAAGTTAAAAAAAGATGCACTGTCTTCTAAAACAGAAACAAAGAGGAACACTTGAAAACTACTTAAAAATTTATGAATCAATTTCTATTAAGTTGGAAAGATAGTAGTCTGAACATCCTAAGCATATGGGACTTTTTAATTCAGTATAACCTAACAATAGATTGATTGAAAGATGATTCCTTCTTCTTGTACATGGCCAAGGACAGCAACTAATTAAAACTCATTTGTTATAAAAGATTTATAGTTATGGAAATTAAACTGACTACATCAAGATTTGTTAAGAGATTGAATTTTCCTTTTCATAAAGGGATTAATAATATGAGAAATTGAATTCACTATAAAATGCAATGCTTTTGAATACATGCAACAGTGTTGAAATAAAAGGGAAGCATTTTAATGAGAGGAATTAAATTTGACTGTAATAGCAGGAAAAAATGTGTGCACATTTTTCCTAATGAGACTGTTTTTGAGTACTTCCTTATGCAATACACACGGATATAGTTAATTCTTTCCATAATTTAAAAAAAATCACTTGTCAGGAAATATCCTAAAGCTTCATAATTATATATCACAAACATATTTATGTTCTCGGTTCTCCTAACGATTCAGATCCTTTGCAATTGTTAAATTGGTATGCTTTCCTTGATGACAATGAGAAGTGTAAGTGTCCAGCTGAAGGTTTGGTTTACCTGAATACGACTGGTTTTGTACTTATTTGTAACATTAGAGATGTTGGCTAAGATTCTAATGGAATGCATCTTAGGGAAAGGTGTGTTCCTCAAAGCATTTTCAGCAACTGGGAAAGACAAATTACATCCCCCAAGATCTAAACCATAGCTTAGTACCATGGCCTAGGTTAAAATTCTTTGCCCAGTGATTTTGCTATTAAATAATTTAATTCAAATATACCTCTCATACACATAGTTGAAAATCAACAGCAAATGCTAATACCAACATCAAAACAACTCTCTGTAAATAGTAAAAATAGGTGTGTTTAATATAGTCTGTTAACAATGTTCATTCAAAAACATATGTACCTTATAGAATAGCTTTGTCTTTCACACGGGTGTTTTGTGATTATATTGACATTTTTTCTTTCATAGAATCAAAGAATCATAGAATCAGCCGGACCTCTGAGATCATCAAGTCCAACCCTCGATCCAATACCATCACAGTTACTAGATCATGGCACTAAGTGCCATATCCAGTCTCATCTTCATCCCTGTCAGGCTGCCCACAGTGTCACTCTAAGCAATGCAGTGATAATCACTACTTTTACACAGCTTTAGGTATGTCAGGACAATATTCCTAAAGCAACACTCACTTTTTTAAAAATATTACCAAATGTATGAATAGTAACATAGAAATAAAAAGAGAAACGCTGCTTCAAGAAGTTAATCTTTTTTCCCAATATTAAGACTTATCACAAAAATCTTGATAAGAAGAAAGAATAGAATATAAAGTACAAACCAAATACTTATAAACGTAAAGCATACTTGAAGCATAATCATATACTAGAATACTTCCTTCAGTACCAAATCATAGAAGTATAGAAAATTTCTAATTAAAAACTACTGTAGCTAAAATGATTATCAGTATATTTTCACATATTTTAAACAAGTCCAGGTCTTTTTTAAGCATCAGAAATATACAATAGGGATATAGAAAAATTGAGTAGAATCACTTTTTAATTACCTATTTTAACAATATATGAATGTCATCCTATGGTAATTTTTGCATCTTAAAATAATTATGATGAAATTGCCATCTTCAGTTATTATTAACTCTACTGAAAATGAAGGCTTCTGGTTACTATAGGACAGAATGGCACAATGTGTTTAGCTACAACCATACTGTACTAGAAGGAAAAAAATGCAGCACCATACTAGTTAAAAAATGAGATTTCCTCTGAGTTCACATACCCTCCAAGCTAAAATGTGGTTTGATGTCTCCTGGTCAACGCATGTACTGGGGATTAAGTTAATTAAGAGTTGCCCTAGTCTATTAAGGCTCTCTGTAGACTAATTATTAAAATGCCTTGGACCATTACAAACCTACAGCAAAAGAAAGTCACAAAAGGGGTTGCTTATTTTATGAGTAGTACTCAGTAGATTATCTTTTGCACTAAAGAACTTCCACAATAGCAGAAGCTTGCCTTCCCCTTTCCTTTTCTGCCATGTAAGGAATAGAAGAATAGGAAATCTTCATATTCATTAGTGTTTCTTTTTTATATATTTATATCCTATGCTTTTATCAGTTGTCAAATTTCTTATGGGTGGAAAAAGTCTGCTTTCTAACTTCCCACTTATGTTTTCCTTTCCTAGAATGAATTAGCCTATATACAATGCTTAGGGATTTTAAAAACTCTAATTAAGGAATAAAAATATATATAAAATCATTAAACAGAATTTCTTACAGAAGTACTGAAGCTGTCTACAAGGTCACCACTTAAAAACAGCAGGACTTTTCCCATATAGTACAAATTTTTCCTACTTTTTTTCTGTCTGCCTTTTAAGAAACTAGAAAAAACACAAGGGCTATGGGCAAGTGACTCTCTTCCTAGTTTCACACCTGTATAGGTCTGCTCATTTCACTAAAGGTTATCCTAGTTCAAAACCATGGCGCCTTGAGGGCAATAAGACCAATAAAGTGAAGAAATGATCACATGGACAATATTCCTAAAATCTAATTTTGTTTATTTTCCTCTTATTTCTTAACTGAACTGAATATCTCCATAACATAAGTGCAAAGGGGCTGGCAGTATCTGCCTGCTAGCCACATGAGTTCAGCAGATATTTCAGTAGATACACTCAGGGCAACTCTCTGTGCTTTTCAAAATCCTTCTTTGGATTTCACCTAAAATTACCAGCCATAGGTACAGCTTATGAGGCCACTCAGCACGAAAGCAAGTTGAAAGACTAATTATGTGGTCTTAGGTGGAAAACTCATCTTCAAGTGTGTTACCAGAACAGAGAAAAAACCTTGTGCTTAAGATCGTACACTAGAAGTAACAAGTTTTGAAAGCACCGTTCAGTATAATTGAGTTATTCTTGTGCTTAGCAGTTGTACTGTGTGATTTAACAGTTCTGTTTGCTCGATAAATACAGGCCATTTAAGATTGCACCGCATGGATGAGAATGTCCTCTCTCTGACAGCCACATACAGTGAACAAACCTGACTATTTAATTACAGACACTCAGAAAGAAACTTCGATATTTAAAATAAAAATTAATCTTCTGATCTCTCTACAGTATCATCATATAGTTATTAAAAGCCTTTCTAATCATAAATTATGCATATTACAAAATATGCTTTTACTGTTTGAAATAGAATACGTGATTGATTTGACAAAAAAAACCCTCTTACCTTTATTTGTGGATTTGCGTAAGTTTGCAGTGGAGAAATATTTTACAGTAGTTCATTAATCAGTGGTGGAAACAAAAGCTGCAATAGTATAGCTGAATGACATCAGATTAAATTTAGTTAATTACAGACGTCAATATGCAAAGGTGTATCTGTTTCCTTCAGGTTTGGAATTATTGAAAGACTACCTAAGACAATACATATAATTGGTCTGTGGAGTTTTATACATGCTGATCAAAAGCTGACTAATTCAGTTCAAACGTTTCACGCGTGACTGCTTGGTCAGATCACACAAAGCCATAAAAACTCTGAAGAGAGAAAAAAAACCTCAAAAGGAGAAGCAGAGGAAAGCAATGAAGGGGAGAGTACTTGCCTACTGTTTATGACAGTAGTTTATTTTAGTATTTAAGAGACCCCTGGTGGCCTAGTGGTTAGCGTGCAGGACTTTCACTGCTGCGACCACGGGTTCTAGTCCCCGGTCTCCTGGCCTGATGGAGGTCGTTAGCCCTGTGTGGCCATCCATCTATGAGAAGGACACTCTAAACAAACCTACGTCCTGAGGACCTCACTGCCATTGTCCAAGCTTGCTTGGCCCCGGCAGATGAACCTTAGGATTAAAGGGTGGGCTCAGTTCAGCGCAGGCTGTGTCTCACCTAAAAAATCCATTGCGCAGGCTGGAAAGGTAAAAGACCTTTCCCCAAATCTTCGTTCGCGAAGATGGGCCATTATTATATATTATTATTATTATTATTAAACTGCTATGAAGTCCCTGTTTTCAAAACTTTCCCTTTTCAGAATGTGCTGTACCTCTCAATTCAGTGATCCAATTGGTTACCATAGGAACAGCTGAAGACTTTCAAGTATTGAAGGTTGAATCTCTAATGGTTTCTACATATGGCTCCAAGAATAGGTCTAGCCTGATCCTGTAAAGGGATGTCTAGGACTGTTGGACCCCTTCTGACACCCTGTAAAGCTACCTATATGCCTAGTAATTAACATAGAAAGACATGTGACAGAAAAACCTAGTGATTACAGGAGGAAAGCTATCTAGTTAAAGACTATGTTGAATTAGCAAAGCAAATGAACCCAAAAGGAATGCCCTAGGAAAGACTCAGAAGAACCGGCAACTTCCTAAGCATATTAATGGGAGATTTTACTGTTTTCATAATTTCTAATAAAGTTTCTATATTTTTTTTAGAACCTTTTAGCTCTGTATTAGTGGCACAATATTTATAGTTGGATAATTATGCATAATCTGTTGTATTCACTGACAGATGTTGCAATTTTTTACATTTAACACTTTTGAAAACTTGGAGGGAAAAGCATATGTAAAAATGTGCTTTCCTCTTCCAAAAAATTATTTCAGTCTTTAGGAAGCTGTTGGACTTAGGATTAATGAATTTATTACCCTGTTAAGTCATCCCAACAGTCTTTTCTGCCCTGACTGGCATGAGCTGGGAGGAGAAGGATCAGCCTTTGTAGCTCCCTGGACTGATATTTCAATGTTGCTCAGCTGGCATCATTGACACCAAACCAAGTCATCACTTCACTAGCCAGACTACCCTTCCTTTCTTTAACATTTTATGACCTTCAATGGAAGTATTTTCTCTCCTGAATCCTTCTGCACCAAAGAATTCAATCTTAACAACCCTAACTCTGTAATTTTACCTTTCTTTTATCTCTACAGATTTTCTCACAGCTCTGTCTTAGCAGCGTGAAACAAGGATGGGCATCTGTGTCTTATCAGAGTTGACCCATGGAGTATTGGATCCCCAGCCACTAAAACAGGGAGGAGGGGGAAGATTAGAACAGATAGTTACAACACTCATTCCCAATTTATTTATTAAGTAGATGATGGAAAGTATAAATGGGGAAACAAGGAGGAAGTTGGAGTTGCCTTAGAGTAAGCAGTCAATGTTGACTCTTTTCTGCAGAAGGATGCCCTTAGGCCATCACCATAGTTAAATCTTTAACAGAAGAAAAGCAAGATGGGGCAGACTGTTATGAGAAAGTAAAAAGGCTGAAAATCACTAAGGATAAAAAAGAAAGGAAAGCCAGTCTTCATTTTTGTAGTTATTTGGATGTTATATGTAGATTTTAGAAATTTGAAATATTAAAGAAATAAACAAATAAGCCAAACTTAAAAAACAAAGTGCTAATGATTTATGTCAACAGATCCTGTGGCAGACGAACATCATAGTTTTTTGTGACTGCTTATCTATTATTCTGTTTATTCTTATTGAAAACTGATGCATTATGTTTCTGTGTTTGAGTTCTATGTACGATTCCAGAGGAAAACTAGGGAGATGGATTTGGAAGAATGCGAAATACTGAAATATTCTTTTTTAAATGTTTTATTAAAATATTAAATATATGAACAATAAAACTATATGTCAGGAGGTGTGAGCTATGATTAGTTTGTCAAGAGAAAAACATTTCCTGATTTTTTAGCTCAAGACACTGAGTATTCTGTTGCCCCACATTGCCCTATTTTTCTGTGTCTCTTTGTTATGCTGTGGCTTACAAATCTGCAGAAATGGCATTTTACATCCATGGTCAAATCTTCACAACAAACACCTTCTTGCCTTACCAAAAAAATCTTAATATTGCTGATTTTACTTGGACGTATTGCTCAACTCATTTTGAATTTATAACTTTTTAAATTGTTTTTGGGACATTCAAGCAATGTAACCACTCCAAAAAGACAGTAGGGCTTCGGTAGAGAAATTTCTTAAGGTTAATGTTGACTCTTGCATTGACAGAGAACTCCTGAGATCTAACTGCCCAGGTTGTTATTAAATAGATCTTTAAACTTTTCTGTGTTGTTTCCTCTGTCTATTAAAATCTGACTAATCTCCATATGTGGAGAAATTATAAAATTCTTAGCTTTAGTTTATGGAATTGTTCTTTTGCTTTTAGACCCATAATTTGAGTTAGTGTAGGCAGTTAGGGGACAAGCATATCACTGGACATTCTTCTGGACACATAAGCATACAAGTAAAAGTAAGGGTACTTTTTCAGGGTATTCATAATGGATTCATTTTACATGGATTAAAGCAGCAGCTTTTAATGCAGCTCTTGCTCTTTTACTCCTCTATAATCTCCTACCAACGGCTTCTACTTCTCCAATCAGCTAACACAATGAGAATCTCAATAAAAAAATGTCTTTCATGAGATTCTGTCATAAAGTGACCCTTTATGCAACTTTTGATAGAAGACAGAACCACTGGGGACTGTATAATATCAGCACAGTGAGCATCTCTAGCAGTAAATTTGCAAGTCTTTTCATTGTTTTTCTCTTGAGTTCTGATGGCTCTCAGCAGTAACATCTAGGAACTTTTGAAAACATAAGCAAAAAAATTACAAACAAAGACACCAAAGAGGTAGTTTTCTGTATCATTTTAGGTAATACAAAGTCAGCTCAACTAACTTCCCTTTAAGAGAGATTTAGCACTTAAGATCAATAGTGAAATCATAACATGGTATCCATGTGAGGGGCTGAAGTTGTCCTATGTTATTGACATTTAATTTTATTTATGGCAGTAAATCCACTAGCTTGGTCCTTTAATAAATTCTTCCCAGGAAACTACTTTGACACCAACTGCCAGTTAATTAAAATTAAATAAATTGCAAAGTAGCTATGTCCTTGTTTTGTGAAAACTGAAATTTTATTCTAATTTGAATTCTCTATGCACTACCTCTGTCTCTCATTTTCTTCTCTTTGTCCTAAGCCTTACATGAGTTCCCCAGGACAGAAAATGAGTAATTTTTAAATAAAAGATAGGGATGTTTTTTGCATTACTTTTATTTTGATGAACACAGCTCTGATTCATGTCTGAATACGTTCATGTAATACAACTGCATGCTAATAAGCCCTTCAGACATCTTATGGCAACTGAATTTGGAACATCTTGGAAGAAATATCTCCTGAGGATGATTTTTTGCCCAGCTCTGATCCTCATTCCTATTAGGTCACTCAGAAATTCTTCAGCATTAGAAATAATAAAGAAGGAAAACAAAACAACCAAACCACCATTTCTTAGGAAAACTCCTTTCTTCTTTCTCCTGACACAATAGTGTAGGGAAGATTAGATTCTAGATGCTAGGAAGAAGATGGGCAATGAAACTTGTCATTGAGCCTGTCATTTGCTTAATTTGTCAACTTTTTGTTGGCATAGGCTGAGGAGAGAGGCAGCTGAGAAAGAGGTGAAAATAATAAAAAGCATTTTATAGATTATTATTATATAGATATTAGCATTTTATAGATTATCTGAATTTAATATATTTCTCACATAAATGTAGATATCCCTTCAAGAAAATATGTATGTTGCTTATATGTATCTACATGCAGAACCATCAGTTGCAGTTAAATTCTGTCCTTGAAAAGAATGGCCAGTGAGACCTTTCTCTCACCATAACTTTGTGTTGAATGTGTAGTCTGAATTACACATTTGAGATCTCTCTCTAGACAGTAAAAACAGAATGGTACTTCTGAAAGCTGAGTCATTAAATCTGCTTTAAACATCTGTCTTCATATGGAACTAAATGCCATATGCTTATCTTCTCAACTGTCTGCCAAAGAAATCTTAAATCCTGCACTAGTTATCTAGCTTCTTTATGGCCACCTTTAAGTAAGATGAATCCTATCATTAGGATCAGCGTAGGAATTGTACCTTCACTGCATATATCTCAGGTAGATATGCTTTTATATTCCACAAATACCTGTATCGCTTCATTAATGTTAGAAAAGCTTTCATGGTTTACTTACACTTAACTTTTAGTTCAAGTAGCTGATTATTACTACTCATAAGAAAACACAAAAAAATCCCAATCAAAATCTGATTTTGCACCTGACATTACGCCTTTAAATAACTCTATAATAATGATGAGAATTGAAAAGAAACCATTCTTTTATTAAAGATATATGTCCTAGTGCTCGAGAGTTTATGCAAGTCCGTATCTTGATCATATTTCCTAATAAATTTTTTATCAGATTTTCTCTGCCTGCTGTTTTTTACCAATGTTACCTGGGGTGTTTGTTTGTTTGTTTGTTAGTTTTTCATTAGAGTTATGATAGAATCCAACCAGTCTTGAAAGACCAAGGTAGCTCTGAATGTATAGGGATGTATGGCATCTCTTTTCATATCCAGACACTACCCGCTGTCTAGAAATGGGTCAGAGATGCCAGCAGTCAGTTTCACAATAGTTGTGTTGTTGTTAGTTGAAATCTGAGTTAAATCTTTCATCCATGGTGCATTTACTCAAATTAATTGAGTACAGAATTAAAAAACAGTCTTTATTCATGTCAAAATACATTATGTTTTGAATCAAATGGAGCCTAATTCTTCATAAAAGACTTTGATCTTGACATGAGACAAATTATTTTTTTCACTGTAAAATAAATTCTATTCTAAAACACCATGAAATCTAAAATAAAGAAAAAAACCCAGTTACTTTTCCTATTATTATGACTACACAGTAATAGCTAGAGCTGTGTTTTGCCTGTATGGACAAACCTTTATTCTGATCATCACATCATGCTATGGCTTAAAAAATGGCTAGTCCCCACACATGAAACTTGGTAATGGGAAGTGGTGGTCGCATCAGTGGTATTACTGGTAAATCAATATCAAAGTACTTACATATAAATAATAAAGAATTTTGTCCATGACACAGAGAAAATAAAACATATAGGTTTTATCTCTAAAGAAATAACTCTGGATCTTCAGGAATGAGTAATGAGAAAATATTCTGTGTACATTGATTCTTGAATCACTTTATTTTGTAAATTAATGTTGGTTCCCGCTCTGAAACAATTCTCAACCTTAAATAAATACTTAAATAAAGACTTCCTATTTTAACATTAATTCTCATAACAGTGAAGAACCTGCTTTACTTATATCTTCTGGATTAACTATTACATCATATTTTCTTTCCTAAAACAGACCTCAGCAGTTCTCAGTCTGTTTTTTGACAAACTATTTAAATATGTTTTAGTAATATCCTAAAGGGCAAGATGTACAATGACTAAACATTTTGAACACTTCACAAATTTTCAGTAAAATCTTAAGTGTGCTAGTAAGTTAGGAAATAGAATAAGTGACAGCTTGTGTGGATTCTAAAGTGGGGAACACAGTTTCTGGAGTATTAGACATAACCTCAATGCATGTAAGGAATTATGGTAACAGAATAAATATCATACTTTAATTAGAGACCACTGGTAGCACTGACTGGTAACAAAAGGCCAAAATTCTGGCATTTTACTCAATGAAATCTGTTACTTAGTAGACCTTTAAGAGCTAAAGTTTGGAAATGTTGACAAGGGTGTTCACCTCCACACATGAAAGAATATGAAGTCCTATTAACTGCTGTAGGAAAAGAAATGTGAGGTACCTTAGCTGATCTCTTCAATCTTAAAAAATCCTAATTTGTTAGTGGAATAATTGAAATATTGTTTAGAAATAATTTCAGACTTGACTTATTACAATCCAGATATGGTTTTGCTTCATTTCTCAGCTAGTCTGGGTCAGACTGCTAAAACCTGGTGGCTTCAATATTGAAACAATATATTAGATTGAATATTGAGTACAATTTTTTGAAAATAAACAATATTTTATGTAAAAGTTGAATCATTAATTATCAAGTCATTTATAGTATAAACTTTTCTTCCTTTTTTTGGACATCACAACAAAAATAAAGAGCTCTTCAGTGTACGAAAAATTTGCCCAGACATTTATACTTTATCTACTTCTTGCAATATTTTGCTTTTTATAAGTCACCAATTCCTGGAGAAGATTTTTGATATGCTGGGGTAATCTAGAAAGACCTTTTTTTTTCACTTTTTGGTTTTTTTCTCAGCCCTTATATAAAGAGAAAAAAATCTGCAGGCAATATTATAAGCCAATATTTAATATTCTAAAAATTGTAGGATATATTGATAAATTCACATATAGATGACTGAATGTCAGAAGTGTTTCCTATACAAAGGATTGCAACAACTTAAAAAATTAATTGATAAGGAATAGTTAAATTCCTTTTTTTTTGATGTTCATGCTGATTTTAAATTAACAAGAACATAACAAAAAAAGTGTGATGATGGCACATTTTTCTATGAGGTAAATTTATTCTGTTTGCATCCATTGCCTGCTGACTCCTCCCTTCTCATTTATGGTGCTATTTATTGGCAATAGGATTTTATATTCCTGATCTCGGTGTCATTTTTGAATCAGATTTGCTCTTTAGGAACCACTCTATTCTTGTTGTTAAGATTTTACTGCTCCATTTCCAAAATTTAGGAAAAGATTATCATGGCTTTCCTGCTGAAGAGTTGAACTTTTACTGATTTATGTAGCATTCTAAACCTAAATCTACATTTCCGTGGTGTTTCCTGCGCAGCTTTCTCCATGGATTATTAAAAATAATTAAAATACTTAAAAAATATAAAGGGTTTTTTTCAGTTTCTTTTTATTAAAAGCAATTTCGTTACATTTTGTATTACTGATGTGTGAAATCTGAACATATTAGTAAAAAATTTGTGATTTCTTTTCCAAAAAAAGGAAAAATGAATAATATATTTTTAG